GGGGCAAGTTCTGAGAACCAGACACCTAGCCTGATGGCTGTAGAGACACAGTGACACGGGGACGGAGAGGCCAAGTGATCGAAAACAGAAAAGCTGAGTCATTGAGGATGGAGAGGCTGGAGGATGGAGAGAGATGTCAGTTCTGGGGGAAGGGGGTAGAGTTATGGAGAACAGGACAGAAAGAAGCCGACTGATGCTGACTAGAGTTCTAGGAGGCGGACAGGAAGCTTGGGGATTGAACAGGTAGAGGGATGTAGGGTGGAGAATTTGAATAATGGGGAATGGGGGGCAGAACGAGACAGACAAGGAGGCAGACTGATGGAGGTCAGGGAGGCAGAGGGGAGCACGGGGTGGGGGACATAAAGGTGTGACTCTGGGCCCCTTGCCCCGGGCAGATGTGGACGAGTGCACGCAGAGCCCAGGCCTTTGTGGCAGAGGGGTCTGTGAGAACCTGTCTGGCTCTTTCCGCTGTGTTTGCCCGGCTGGCTTCCGGGGCTCGGCGTGTGAAGAAGATGTGGATGAGTGTGCCCAAGAGCCACCGCCCTGCGGGCCAGGCCGCTGTGACAACACGGCTGGCTCCTTCCACTGTGCCTGCCCTGCTGGCTTCCGCTCCCAAGGACCGGGGGCCCCGTGCCAAGGTGAGGGTGCCGAATACAAGCCCACTCCACCCCCATTTGCTGTGGGGACTGGAAAGAGACATGGTTGGGGTCAGAGAGGCAGAGTAATGGGGCTTGGTGATGGAGGACAGGGGCAGAGGAGTACTGAGAGGGTGGGGAGGGTCTGATTCAAGTCTTCTCCCCTTTCTGCAAATATGAGGGTGCTCTCCCTTCCGCCTCCCTTTTGGAATGATACTTTTGTGCTTGTGGGAACCCTAGGGAGGGGACAACTGACATGGGGAGGGCAACATGCAGGAGGTGGTGCCCTAGCTTCACCCTGGCAGCTGGAGAGACCTTCCCTGGGGAAACAGGGAAGGAATCTGTTCTCCTGGGAGATGGGATGAGCCTGGGCAAAGTCCAAGAGACTGCCTCCAGACTGCAATGTTGGGGTAGGTGGTGATGGCAATGGAGATGTTTGGGTCTAGGCCCCTTTCTCAGCCCCACTGGTCCCCTCTGCCCCAGATGTGGACGAGTGTGCCCGTAGCCCCCCGCCCTGTGCCTATGGCCGGTGTGAGAACACAGAAGGTGGCTTCCAGTGTGTCTGTCCCACCGGCTTCCAACCCAACGCTGCCGGCTCTGAGTGCGAGGGTGAGGCCGGGGAGGGAGGGAGGCATGTGGATGGGGGAGGGGGGCTTTGGGCTGCTCCTTCAAGGCCACCTTCTCCCCTGCCCCCCAGATGTGGATGAGTGTGAGAATCATCTGGCATGTCCTGGACAGGAGTGTGTGAACTCACCTGGCTCCTTCCAGTGCAGAGCCTGTCCTGCTGGTCACCACCTACACCATGGCCGATGCACTGGTGAGACCAAGCCCTGGCTATGACCTTAGACCTGCACCGTGACCCCTGACCTGGCCCATTATCTCCTGACCTGGACCTCAATCCTCTGGACCCTGACCCTCAGAGTCTGATTGTGACTCTTGACCTAGATTATGGGCCTCTGACCCATATTGCAAGTCCTGGCCTGGACCACCACCCTTGACTCTGAATGTGACTTCTGATTCTGTGGCCCCTGAACCCTCAACCTGTCTGTGACATTTGAACCTAACCATTACCCCTACTGATAAACTCTCCCTACAACCCTGATAGCAATTGTAACCCTTCTGATCCTGACTGTCCCTTGACCCTGAATGTGACCTGTGACTCCTAAACTTGACCATGACATTTGACCTAACCGTAACTCCTGACCATAACCCTTGACTCTCTGTGACCTTTGATCTTGTCTCTTTCATTGACCCTGCCCATTCTCAGAATACCTTCCCTGGCGTATTGGGTTCATGATCCCTGACCCTGACCCCTGACTAGAGGCAGAATTCTGGGCTCTGACTGTTACCCCTGACCTGAATTGGTCTCAGATTCCAGTCACTGACTCTAACCCCTGATTTAACAGAATGCCATCCAATCATCTTGGTTTATAATACCTGACCTCTTACCCTAATTAATTTCTGACCCCAGTCCTCATCCAGAGTCCCTTCACTGACTCCAGGATCCTGGCACAGGGAGTTGCCAGAAAACCTGACCTACAAGACCCCCAATTATGGTCGCCAGAATCAGGGAATCTTGGTCTCTCCAACCTGCTCCTGCTATGGATCTTTCAGCTCATATCCAACTCAAGACACTACCCACCAACTTCTCTAGAGCCCTCTGCCACAAGAGGATCCATCCAGCGTCCCTAAACCAGACCCCTCCCTCCCTTTTTTTTTGAGACAGAGACAGAGCATGAGCAGGAGGCAGGGAGAGAGAAGAGAGGGAGACCTGAGATCTGGAAGCAGGCTCCAGGCTCTGGGCTGTCAGGCCCTACGAGGGGCTTGAACTCACGGACTGTGAGATCATGACCTGAACTGAAGTCGGATGCCGACTAGCATATGAACCACAGGCGCCCCAAACCAGACCCTTTCTGAAACCCCTGTTCCCACAGATGTGGACGAGTGCAGTTCGGGTGCCTCCTGCGGCCCCACCAGCACCGATGGCTCCTTCATGCCTGCAAGCTGGCAGCGGCAGGCTACCAGGCGCCCGTCAGGTCAGCCTGGGCCCCTGCGCAGGTGGGAGTGGGGAGAAGGAGCGGCGGGGAGGACCGGGAGAGGAGGCACCTGGGGTGGGTCCGGGCTCTGGGCTAAAGCCTGATGGGGAGGAGGTAGAAGCTCACGACCCAAAAAGGATGTGGGTGGGGCTTAAAACCCGCCCTCTGGGTGTGGCTGGGGCAGGGATTGATGCTTCCTGGGCCAGGACCTGGCCTATTTCTCTATACCTACAAATCTTGAACAGAGCCTTAGAGAGGGGAACTTCTGTTTCCCGGCAGTGCCCTCCAACACAAACAGCTCCTTGCCCTGCACCTTCCAGCTACCGGCCCAGACTACCTGCAGAGCCACCTCGGTTCATGCAGTACAGGCTGAGCCACAGACCAGGAAAAGTGGGCTTTCACCCAGGCTCAGGACAGGAGAAGGGGCAGGAGGCAGCGCCCTGACAGTGGTGGCTGGACTAGGGTCTCAAAGCGTCAAAGCAGGGAACTTAATGGAACCTCTTAGCGTCGATCATTAGGGAGGAGGGAGAGTTTAGAGGAAGAGGAAAAGGCAGGTCGGGATAAAAACTCGGTGATTGGAAAGGACAGGGGCTCTGCTTGGAGGGTGGGGCTTTTCAGGAAGGAAGGAGGAGAACTCATAGGCAGAGCTAGGGGAGGCGGAGAGGGTAGGAAGCAGAGACCTCAGCCAGAGAGGCGGGGCAAGGGCGGTGGAGGGGCTTGCCCGAGAATGGTAAGCCGAGGAGGTGGTCCGCGGTTTCGGACACTGTCCTGCAGACGTGGACGAGTGCAGCGAGGAGGACCTCTGCCAGAGCGGCGTCTGTACCAACACCGACGGCTCCTTCGAGTGCGTGTGTCCTCCCGGACATCGCGCCGGCCCAGACCTCGCCTCCTGCCTGGGTGAGAGGCGCCTGCCCGGCCTGATCCCTGCCCCTTGCCTCTCCTGCTCTGCCATTTGCCTCCCCTCCACTGCTTCCTCCCTTCCCCGCTTCTGACTCTCCTCTCCCTTCCTTAACTCCCCCCACCTGTTCTTATTTGCCTCCCAGCCTCCCCTGTTTCCCGCATCTGACTGCTCTGCCTCCTTTCTCAGACATAGACGAATGTCGAGAGCGGGGCCCGGCCCTGTGCGGGTCCCAGCGTTGTGAGAATTCCCCTGGCTCCTACCGCTGTGTCCGAGACTGCGACCCTGGCTACCACGCGGGACCTGAGGGCACCTGTGACGGTGAGACTACTCTCCTTCCCCGCTCCTGTCTCTAGAACTAGTTGCTGGAATGAGCTCCCTTGGGGATGGAGGAGGAGCACCCTGCCTTCCGGACTTGAGGGGAGGGAAGGAGCCGTCAACCAATGCATTTAACTGTGTCCCCATCTCTGTGGTGGAAATAAGCCACCAGGGTGTCCTTGCATTTTCCCCTGGAGGTGAGGTGGGAAATGGGGGTGGAGGGGAGGGGAGACACTCCTACCAGATACCAGGCCAAGCCTCACTTCCAGAAGCAGCCCTCTCTGCTCCTCTAGCTCAGTGCACATTTTAGGCTAGACCCCAGCAAGACACCTCCTCCAGGAAGAACTGTTAGCGCCTCCACAGCTTCCAGTGGGTTTCTTTCTCTCTGGGTCCCTTAAGCCTGCCTTCTTTCACCTTCCACCACTCCCTCTACTTCCAGCTGCCCTCCCGGTCACTGACAGGGGCCCGGCCGGGGGCTGTCCTGGGCCCATCCTTTCCCAGTTCAAAATTCCCCAGGTTCCACCATGCTGGGCCTTGCCCGTTTAAACCCCACCTCCCAAGCTCTATTCCAAGTCTCTCCGGATTCTGTGCTTTCCCCCATTCTTCAGACTTCTCCAGTGCCCCTGCCCCGCCCCAAACGTGTCCGCCCACCCCTTCCAGTCCCAGCCCTTGCCTGCCCTTCTCATTCCTTTATGCCTTCCCCCACACCCTCCTCCCTCCCTTCCCAACCCCCCTGCCCTGTTTCCCCACCAGGCTCCAGCGGGGTACTGATGAGACAGGAGGTTGGGGCTAATGGAAAGATTTGTTCTTGCATAGTGTGTGGGTCAACATTTTGGGGAGCAGATGAAATGACTGTGGGCTATCTTTGGCTCTCTGGCTGCCAGAACTCTGATCCGTGGAAGCCTAGTTTCAGGGGACTTCGTTCGTTCATTCTGCAGGAATTCATTAAGCACCTACTGTGTGCCAGACAGTGGCAATGAGCCAAACAAAATCAATGCCCTCACGGAGCTGACGGTGGGGGAGTAGGAGTGGGGGGAGGGAGAGACAGACAGTAAGTATGTAAATAAATTCAAGCTTCATTCAGCAAACAGTTTGGGGGCACACACTGTGTGTAGGCATGGTTCTATACCCTGGGGTTACAGGGGGGAACAAGACAGACACAAGTCCCTGCATTTTGGAGGTTATAGTCTAGGGAGGTGACAGTTGGCATGTTAAAAATTACATGGATATTTTTGACATATTAATATAATGTCAACTTTAAGAAGGGAAATAGGTGTCTGGGTGGCTCAGCTGGTTAAGCAGCTATTTTATTTTTTACATTTATTCATTTTGAGCGTGGGAAGGGGCAGAGAGAGAGGGAGACACAGAATTTGAAGCAG